CCTATCATCCCAGCTACAGTGGGAAGATCGTGGTCAAGGCCAGCTTGGGCAAAAAACAAGACTCTATCTCCAAATTAACCAGAACAAAAAGGGCTGGCAGAGTGGTTGAAATGGTAGAGTACCCGCCTAGCAAGCATGAAGCCCTGATTTCAAAGCCCCCTACCATCGACAGAGAGAGAGAGAGAGAGAGAGAGCGCGAAAGACTTATCTAATGGAAAAGGAATTGGTTGTTACGGAACAAATATCCAGTATTATCACTGACATTCAAGTTGAAGAATGAAATTTAAAGGACCTTCATTAATAAAGATAGTGGTATCTTATTTATATGATTATTCAGTTTTAAAACTATTTTTATGGAATCTTGTCTTCACACAGCAACTGTGATATTAGCAGGCAGGTGTCATTCTATAGAGGCGGACATTTTGTTATACAGAAGTTAAAAAGGTTAAAGTAATTCACTCTGTTTTTTGATTTTTGAAACTGTGTTTAGTGCATTTGAAGTGTTTTTTAGTTAAAGGGGTACTAAATTAAAAGAGCATCTGCTTCAGGTTTTAAAACCAACAGTAAAACAACTCACCCGTACTTCCCAAAAAACCCCCAAACCAAAACAAAGCAAAATACTTTCAATTTAATACTTGATTTCTTTGCAGAGTGGAACAGTGGACCTTTTCTGGTATCTGAGATGGTTTCCTGAGGAGACTTTGCCTGAGTATGTATATTCTCTGTCATAAAGTTTAATCCTTTCCTATTTACATTTTCCACTACACAATTAAGTACATATATAAAGCTTAGAAGTTAGTCACTAGAGTTGTTTCTAACTCACAAAAAAGTATATAGTTTAAGATGAAACTCAGGCATCAAGGTGTGAGACCCAGGGTAGAAAGTAGAGGACAGATACGGAGCTAGAAAGCAAAATTCAATAAACATTGGGTTTCCATACACATTCCTACTGTATGAGGTGGTTGAGGAATACACCGCTATGCATAATGCACTGTACTTAGATGTCAAGGACTTAGCCTCTATTAATGTTGGAAATATAAATTCTGATATAAGTAGAAATAATTGAATAGCATGTGTCTTGGAAGAGGTTAAGAGAAATTGAGATCATTTGTTAATAGAGAGTAAGAAGAAGGAATTAATATTTTAAAATATCTACTAGTGAAATAAAATAGATAATATTGACAGCATATTAATAGACATAATTCAATTCTAAGTTTATTAAGAAATAAACAGAAGTTTAAAATGCCACGTTTCTTGGACTGGAGGTATGGTTCAAGCGATAGGGCACCTGCTTTGCAAGCACAAAGCAGAGTTCAAATCCCAGTTCCACCAAAAAAAAATAGTAAATAAATAAAATGCTATATTTCTTGAGGCTGTGTACATGTGCTACATATTTGAAAATTAATTTCTTTAAAAATTTAAACAGTAATAATAGCTAATTGATGTGGTTGATATTTGAAACACTTCAAAAACATCTATCAGCTGACGTGAATGATTCTAAAAATTGGTGCTGTATTTAAAGGTATTATAAAGTATCAATGCCATAGGTTTAATTAATTTATAATTTATAATTTCAATTAAAATTTCAAATATATGTACTTATTTTTCTACTTATTTAGTAGAGGTGCACCAAAAGTGTATTCATGTATCTATACTTGCCTGGGTGCTAGTCCCAAAAACTGTCAGACAAGCTTCCACTCCTTTTATGCTCTTCTCTCTGAAGTCCACATAACTCACAGCCTCTTTGAGGGCTTGCTTGACCATGACCTTTTCACTGAGGCTTATGCAGACCAATCTATCTAAAATTATACCTGTCCCACCCCTGGCACTCCCATTCCCATTTGTACTACACTGTTTTTTTCCATTGCTCTCATCCTCTTTTACCAAATTGTGGGGTTACTTATTTATACAATTTTCATTAATTGCTTGATCTCGTCCCTCTAGAATGTAATGCCTTTTTGGGCAGTGACTTTTGTCTCTTTTGTTCCCTGTGTTCTCTATAAGAATCTAGATCTGTGTTCTTCAACACTGTAGTCTCTAGTCACTTGTAGCTATTTAGATTTAAATTAACCAAAATTAAATACAATTAAAATTCATTTTCCTATCCTACTAGCTGTATTTCAAGTGGTCTTATGTGGTTAGTGGTGTCTGTCACATAACAGGTGACCAACGTATATTTTAGAACAAGTGAATGCCGAATGATTAAATGTTATAATAAACATTTGGAGAAAGTGAAGGCAAAATAAAATATCAGCTCATGGAATAAATAGTTTAGACATGAGAATAAATACAAGTTTATCAAAAATTATTGCAGATAAGTCTGTAGTTATTAAGCCATGGAGCTTGACCATAATGGTGCAGTAATAATTTCATAACTCTCTTAGTTTCTGAATTGAAAAAACATCACTTTTAAAGAGACCTATAGAGGACCAAGATATCTTTTGAGTTTCTCACTTTCTTCTAACACTGAAGGAAAGAAAGGAAGGGAGGAAGGTAGCAGGGAGAAAGGGAGGGAGGGAAGAAAGGCAGTATAGAAGGAAGGGAGAAAGAAAGAACAACAAAGTTCAAGTCTACATCCAGCTACTTGATGATATTCCATAAGATGAAGTCAAACACAGATTTTGGCAATATTCTTAAACAGAAGCAGAACATTCACAGAGGGTACTGCAATGCAAGATTGCAACCATTTCATTACTCAGGCAAGAAAGAGTGATCTGCTTGAAAAATAATTTATTTTTGTACAGAAATTAGACTGATAGTTATTTCTACTCTTAATCATCACTAATGACATCAGACAATCTATTTAGGTTGGCACTTTTCATATGATTTAGTGTTTTTCTCTCTTCCAGCAATATTGTTATCTAACTCATTTGCTTCATCTGATAGCATTCTTCCAAAACCACGTATTTCTTGTATACCAGAGTCAGTAAGGCCATTCTGAGGTCTGATCTTCTAGGATTATAAGGAAGCCTGTGCTAATCTTTTTTATTAACATATTTGACTAATTCCTCATTTTGCAGTACTTTCTGCTCAGTTTCCATGTGTGAACTCTTGGCTTATTTTTTACCTGGTTGTTAAGTTTAACAACTGATGCAAGTAAGTCTTTTAGTCTTTCCTGTTATTGGAACATAACTGACTTCCAGAATTACTTGTCTTATCAGTTCTTGTATCTCTTATTAATAACAGATATTTTATAAATACCTATGGCTGTAAATGTACATACTCTCCATAGAAGAAACTAATACATATTAATACACATAATTGTGATGCCTCTGCCTATTGAAATCCATTAAAATGAATAAAGACTTTAATATGTATTCATAGTTCATGTCATATAAATTATTTCCTTTGTGAATCATTGTGAATTTTTTGTGGTTCTAGAGTTTGAACTCGGGGCTTCATGCTTGTAAGGCAAGGCACCCTACCACTTGAGCCACACCTCCAGCCCAGAATCATGGATTTTTATATATTTAAGTATTTCCAGTTAATCATCAAAGTGAAAGAAATTATTTTCTACCTAATTATTTAAAGTTGTCCCTGACAAGTTGTCCAGTTTACCTTTTATTTGCAATAAAGATTGTGTCTTTACCACAGAATCTCAACTTCTTGTTTTCTTTCTTTCTTTTCCTTTTTTGCTTTATTAAGCCTATCGTCTAGGAAGACCTTAGAGAACTTTCTAGACTGTAGTTTCTCTCATGTTTTTGCAATCATGCTTGTGTTCTGAAAACAACAGAATATCCCACATCTATCTTATTTCTTGCTCTAAGCAGGATTTGTATATCTTGTAGGAGTCCTAAATCTCTTTAATAAGAATAAATGTTACCTTAGGCAAAAATATGGTTTGAGGTTTGTATATAACAGTTTATGGGAAAGTGCTGTTGAAGCTACTGAAATGCTTTTTTGTGTAGTGATAGTGCTGGAAAAAATATATAGAAAAATTTATTATTTTATCTCCTCTCATTCCCAAATTAACATGTCAAAGTAGTTTTTCACTTAAGATCACTATATATATATGTATATATATATGCACTTATATATAAAGTAATATTGTAGTTTAAGGACAAATGCAGGTAAAAGGCTATATTCTGGAAATGACTTTAAGAAGGCTCTCTAAGCTGCAGGGTACTTGTCTTAGTCATCTTGGACACTATAACAAAGTATCATAGATGGTGAGCAAATAACATTTATTTCTCACGGTTGTGGAGGGTGCAAGTACAAGAAGAGCAGGGTCAGATTCTAGTAAGAGCCCTCCTCCAGGCTTGGAGATGACTGTTTTCTTGGGGTATTCTCACATAGCAGAGAGGAAAAGAGAGAGAGAAAGGGGGAGTGGGAGGAGAGGGAGGAAGATCAAGCAGAAACTTTCTGATCAGTTCTAAGAGTGCTAAATCTATCATAATTTACCTCCCAAAGATACCACCTCCAAATACTATTAGAGACTCAGTTAGGATTTCAAAAAATAAATCTTGGAGACACACATTCCCTCCTCAGCAATACCACAAGTGAAGTCGGGACCCTGATGATATCTTTATTACAGAATCCTATATTTTCTTTGCCTTACAAAATCTGTTTTTCTTACTTGGAAAGATCTTGGGATTTAGTCAACTGTTCCACTCCCTCTCCTTCACATTTAAAACATATGATGAATACACAAGTACATGTTAGAGCTTTTGGTCATTGTCCACATTGTCTTTTGCCATTTTGGGCACATTTCAAAGAACTTTCTAGGGCAGAAACTCTCTTTTTTCTTACCTCAAGTATGTAACTGCCTTTTAAAATATGATACCTAGGAAAAGAGAAAGATGAAGGGATATTTATTAAATTTTTTTTAGGCATACTAGTTTATTTTAGAGCATGGCTAAACGCTTTGTCTAAACAAAAACTGATTGAGAAATTTTACATGACACACCAGGGAATTCAGCATACTTATGGAAGTTCCTAGTCACTGTTTTTTGGGTACTGCTTTCTCAATTTCCTTTTTCTTCTTTGCCCCATCTGTCAGAGTGAATCAAAGGAAACCCCAACTTTTGAAAAGACTTCCTTTTTGGAGTTATCTTTCTTATACAGAGAAGTTTCTAATATAATTCTAATTGATTCTTGTTCAATCTCAAGTATTTCTGAGCAGATATCTCTATTCACAGAAATATACACCTTGGGGAAAAATAGAGGTTTCTGGTTCCTCATAACCACTAGACAACAGGCGAATAAACACATGATGGGTCTGGAAGAACTTCAGAGTAAACGTGAGTACTTCTCCTTTCACTTTTAAAGAAGCAGATGGAATTAGGGATAAGATTTTAAAATATGATTTGACAGCTGCAGTGATGATGGAAGATGGTGGTGATGGGATGAAGGGGTGGAAGAAAATGAGGATGGCCTTGGTAGAAAAGAAGGACATGGATTCAAATAAGTTGAGTAACAGACACTTCCTTATAGAATCTAGATTATTCCAAGTGAGGAAATAAAGTATATAAAAGAGATATAAAGTGGAAAAAATAGAGTAATTTGAGAACATTACTTTCAAGGGCAGAGAGTGAGGAAGATAAAGAAAACATGTTGACTTGGGTTCATGATGTATAGGTTCTATCTGTTTTTATATTTGACTTAAGGAACACCAGTGGATTTGTATCATGAGAAAATTAAAAAAAGCTTTTTGAGAAATATATAGAATGCATGCAGAAATATATAAGATTAGAATTAAAGTTTCACTTCATCTCATCAACCCACCATGGCAAACTTCAATAGGGTTATGTTGCACGTGGTCCTAAAAAAACACCTTTTTATGGAACACTGTGCCTCAAGTGATTTTTTTTAATACTGTTATGTGCTGATATACATGATTGTTTAATTTGCTTTGTAGGTTTTTATTATATAAATTCATCACAATTTAGAATTTCTTCTATTGATAATTATTAAGCTCCAGTGATTTTTCTGTTTCTCAAAGTACTGCAATGAATTTCCTTTCATATAAATAAGCTCTGTGATTTCTGTAGGACAGAATTGAAACTTTTATAGCAAATGTAATGCAGTTAAAGCTGATAAATGCCACTTAGTTGATATTTTTTAAAAGTTTCTCTAATTTACAATCTTAGCAACAGCATTTATTTCTTTACCAGGAGTACTTAGCCCTTTCCAGTACTGTATTTTTCAATTTACTTTCTTTTAGAATCTATGTGAGAAAACATGCCACAGTATTTCAGTTTATAGTTCCCTGATTGAGCATACTTTTATTTCATTAATGGCTTTTGATAATTTCAGCATGTTAAATTTTCAGAAAATTTCCCACTGAAAATTGCTCAGTTTTCTAACTGATGTTTGAAATTCTTTATATGGTCTGGATACTAATATTGTAACAAGAATTTTCTTCCCTGTATTCCCTATTTTTACACTGTGTTAGAGAGAAGCTTTAATTTTTATGTACCCAAGTTACCGATCTTTTATGGCTTTTGGGCTTTGCATCTTGCTTATTGTAACCCTTCTTGTTCCAAAATTATGAAAACAAGTTTACATTTTTCTTTGTTATTATTTACCAGTAAGCTTTAAAGTTGATTTTTTTCAGAGGAATTATTTAAGTTTTCCTCTGGGTCTAAAATACTTAGGGTGCTCTTATATTTTGTTTGCTCCTTGATAGACTTGGTTTTCTTACACCTTTGTGGTAGAAAGGAAAGTAACCTATTCTATCTTTTTTCTTTTCTCCTAACATAAGGAAGCCAGTATTCCCAGTTTATCCCTTGGGCCCTTGCTACTGTTTGCATCTCACTTCTCAGCGCCTGTTTTATTGCAAGTTGTTTGGGTGAGTTATTATCCAAAGTGGAACTCTTCTTGAATTTTTTTCCCTAACAACTTTCATAAAGTTGCCCTACTGCTATCTTGATTTTTCATCTTTTGCTATCTTGGATCAAAGTCTATCAAGGGCCACATTTTTAAAGTAAGGTATATGCAGCAAAAAACCAACTTTTAGATGGACTGGCTTGAATTGGCAAAGGAAAACTAATCTTCCATTTCTCCCTCCCTTCATCCCTCCCTACCTCCCTCTTTCCCTCCTTCCTCCTTTCCCTCCTTCCCTCTCTCCTTTCCTTCTCTTCCTCCTTCCAAAAAAAACCCACTTCATTGAGGTATTATTGGCATATAAAATGTTTTTAACTGTTTAATGTAGGTATCATTAAGATTGGGGATGGATACACACTCATGAAACCATCACCGCATCAAAGCCATAGGAAGACTTGTTCTTTCTGATATCAAGACCTAAGATAAAGTTATTATAATTAAAGTAATGCTGAACAGGTACAAGACAAAGAAACTGAAGGAAAGAATATAGAGCTTTTTTTTTTATAGATCCTGCAGATGTAAATTCTTTATATAAAAACAGAGGGGGCTGTTGTAGTTATGGAAAAAAGACAGTTTTATTCAATTAGTGTTGGAGAGCCCATTGATTATCTATGTTTAAGAAATGAAATTTGAGCTCCTGCTCAAAACTTTGTAGAATTATCCCAGTGTTCACCCAAATTCTTTACTCTCAATAGAAATTTTGATAGAAAAATATACTTGAAATCATATGCATTAAGTTTGTAAAATTTCCCGTGTAAAGCACGGGATAAATAAAAATACTACTTTTCAACAAGTTCACCTGGACCTGGAAAAAGGAACTGCATAGGAAGAAAAGAAAATGCAGGGGCTGTATGTACTAGGGCAAGGGAAAGGTCAGGGAGATGGGATCCCAACTTCCCTAACTAAGTGGTTTTGTAGGGAAAGAAAACTAATTTTTTCCCTTCCTTGACAGTGACTCATCACAACTTTATACGTTGTAAGGGACGAATGGAAATCTTCAAGTTCCCAGAGCACCACCGGAAGCTAACATGCATCAGAGAAGAGCCAGAACTGAGACGCACAGGTAGCAGAGAGATAAGAGCATTACTTTCTCATTTCCATTTCCATTCAAATTTGTAATTTAATTTAAAGAGTATCAGTAGTAAACCAGGAGCGAGTAAAGTAACATAAAATGAGACTTGGGTACAACAAGAGTAAACATTAAGTAAATTGGGATAGAATTATTTCTCATGACTGTAGTCAGTTGAATGACTAGAAAATATAATCACACACTTAGGTGCTTTTTGTTTTTAGTGCTGGAGATCAGACCCAGGGTGTTGCGTGTGCCAGGCAAGCGCTCTGCCGCTGAGCTACATCCAAAGCTCTTGGTTTTTTTTTTTTTTTTTTTTCCAATTTTTATTTTATTTTGTTTTATTTTTTAAATGTTTTTTTTTCATTTTTCTTTTATTATTCATATGTGCATACAAGGCTTGGTTCATTTCTCCCCCCTGCCCCCACCCCCTCCCTTACCACCCACTCCACCCCCTCCCGCTCACCCCCCTCAATACCCAGCAGAAACTATTTTGCCCTTATCTCTAATTTTGTTGTAGAGAGAGTATAAGCAATAATAGGAAGGAACAAGGGGTTTTGCTGGTTGAGATAAGGATAGCTATACAGGGCATTGACTCACATTGATTTCTGTGCGTGGGTGTTACCTTCTAGGTTAATTCTTTTTGATCTAACCTTTTCTCTAGTACCTGGTCCCCTTTTCCTATTGGCCTCAGTTGCTTTTAAGGTATCTGCTTTAGTTTCTCTGCGTTAAGGGCAACAAATGCTAGCTAGTTTTTTAGGTGTCTTACCTATCCTCACCCCTCCCTTGTGTGCTCTCGCTTTTATCATGTGCTCATAGTCCAATCCCCTTGTTGTGTTTGCCCTTGATCTAATGTCCACATATGAGGGAGAACATACGATTTTTGGTCTTTTGGGCCAGGCTAACCTCACTCAGAATGATGTTCTCCAATTCCATCCATTTATCAGCGAATGATAACATTTCGTTCTTCTTCATGGCTGCATAAAATTCCATTGTGTATAGATACCACATTTTCTTAATCCATTCGTCAGTGCTGGGGCATCTTGGCTGTTTCCATAACTTGGCTATTGTGAATAGTGCTGCAATAAACATGGATGTGCAGGTGCCTCTGGAGTAACAGTCTTTTGGGTATATCCCCAAGAAGCTCTTGGTTTTTGGAGACAGGCTTTGTAGCTCAAGCTGGCCTGGAGCTTGCTATATAGCTAGGTTGTCCTTGACTTTGTAATCCTCCTGCCTTTGACACCTGAGTATTGTGATTGCAGAGATTCATCACCACTGTAGATTGTGGGCTGCTTCTAACATCTGAAAACACTAGCATTTTATTCAAATTTTCCTTGATCCAGATGTATCATAAGGACAGTTTCTGCTTGGAATATATGCTTTTTCTAAGATGTCTTTATTTCTTGTTATTCTGGAATTTGTAAAGTCTCATTTGGGAGAATGGAGAAATTCTTCAGATTCAGCAGATTCTTTGTTTCTTTCAGATAAAAAAATCCTTCACAAAACTTTGCTATAGAAACACTTTATTTTTAATTTTTCAAAAAAAATTGTGGTGCTAAAGATCAAACCCAGGGCTTTGCACATATTAGGCAAACACTCTGTCACTGGGCTATATCTTGAGCCCTGAGCCTTTCATTTTAAATATGAAAGTAAAGAGATGAAAAAACGATTAGGTCATCTATGAGACTATAATCCAGTTTTCTCTTGGCCACTCCATCATTTAGATATTTCTATTTAGAAGATATTTAGACTTGGAATTTTCAGAATTCCAAGAGAGGGGATTGGGAGCCAATGATATTAGTAATTCTGGTATTAGTTCCACTAATGTTAATTAGATACTAAGTAGTAAGAGATGAAATACTCCCTTGTAAGCAATTTACATTTTCATTTCCACCTTAGGGGGTACCTGGAATTGTTGTCCTGTTGACTGGAGGGCCTTCCAGTCCAACTGCTATTTTTCTCTTAATGACAACAAGACGTGGGCTGAGAGTCAAAGGAACTGCTCAGGGATGGGAGCTCACCTGGTGACCATCAACACAGAAGCCGAGCAGGTGTGTTGGGAGCTCACACCATTTCTCTGTTTCTTTAAATTTTTGCTGAGAAAGTGTATCTCTGCACTGCCATGCCTCTGTGCCTTTGCTTTACCTATCCATATGCTTAGAAAGCCTTCTTGTCCCTTCCTGTTTTTATTATTCTCCATCCCCCTCACCTCCCCTCTCCTCATCTTTCCTTTCTTCCCCTTTTGTGATTTTTCAACTATGTTTTTCATAATTGCAGTGTCTGATAGACATTGCAGTATAATTTACCAAATAGTTATATGGTAATCATTTGGTTATAATGCTTTCTATAGAAAACAAACACATAGAATTATGTGTTGATATATTCATCTAAGAGAATACACACATAAAATGATATATATTTTATGGGTGAAAACATAAGTACTTTATATTTTGGAAAATTAGCCATTTTTCTTACATGATCAACTTTTTTTGGACTTCCCCAATTTTGTTTATGTATTGCTTCCCCCAGAAAACTATCCCAACCACCTTCCCTACTCCCCCCCTGCTTATTCTAAGTTGGAGGTACTGTTGTGGCTCTTTGGGCACAGTGAGAGCACAGTGTTTTCTCTGGTGTACTGTTCCACCTCTTCCATTGATTCTTACTTGGTGGAGGGATGGGAGCATACTTGAGTCATCTTTGCATCTCTAATGTCCTGGGAAGAGCCAGGCACACCAGATAGGATTTGATAAATGTTTGGTGAGTATAGGGAATAAATAAGTGGTTAATCAGGACAGAAATAGCTTCTTAGGATAAAGTATAAGAAAATAGTTCAGCTGTAAGATTCAAATTCTAAATAAAAGTAAATCTTAAGGTAAATTCAATTCTTCAAAAGCTGAAATTTGTCTTCTCAGGTCCTATATTTCATATATGTACCATGACTCAGCTTCTACTCTTTTCTTGGTCACCAGAGTTTCTTTGAGGATTCTGTCATTATGTCTTTGCAATCTCTAGACTTGCAGACTCTTCAATAAAATGGAATTTAATGAAATATACAAAAAGGCAGTTTTAAAAACAAGTCTCTTAAAAATCCAATCTTATTAAGTATGTGTTAAGAAGGTTGCAAGTATGATCTCACTTAATCTTCACAGTAACTCTGTGAAGTAGTCAAGTTGTCTTTTTTGGAGATGAGAAAACTGGGGAATTGGTGACATTCAAAAGTACTTATTAACATTATAATCAGGATTTGAAAACAGACCAATCTGATGCCAAAGTTTTTACAACTTATTTGACTTCTTTCCTCTTTCTCAACATAACAGCCATCATCTAAGTGCAAATATATTTATGAAAACTTTTATTTTGTGTGCAGAACTTCACAACAAAGTTTTTGGATAGACGATTTTCATATTTCCTGGGACTTACATATGAGAAAATCGAAGGTCAGTGGCAGTGGGTGGACCAGACACCCCTTGACCCGCACATGGCGTGAGTATACTGATTGGGGCGAAGAACATTTGCAGGGAGGGTAGAAGTGGTGCCAGAATTCATTTTAGAGTGGAACACCCCAACATAAAAGTATTTTCTCAGAGTAGAGCACTGTGGGTTGAGTAACCTCTACAAACTATGTCTCCACTGCAGAATAATGCTATAACTTCAGTGAAATTTGCAGTATTCTTATTTGTACAATGTTGGTGAAACAATGGATGGTATAGGAGTGATATGAAAAAAATGTCCTTGAATTTGACATTTAGATAAATAACCTCATAAGGGTTAAAAATTATTTTTGAAACAATTATAACCTGATGATTTTTGTCTAATACGAATATAATACAAAAACCGTATGTGTAATTTAAAATATTCTAGTAGCCACATTAAGCAAGTAAAAAGAAACAGGAGAAATTTATCTTAATAATGTATTAATAATTAATCATTAATAATGATTCAGTCCAGTACATCCAATGCTTATTTCATTATGTAATCAATATAATATTATTACCAACATATTTTGCATGTTTTTTGTATTATCTTTGAAATATAGTGTGCACTTAACACTCAAAATGATCACAACTCTTTTTTTATTATCCATCTTTAAAAAATTTTATTAGCATATTATTGTTGTAATGGAGTTACATTGTAACATTTACAAAAGTGCTTATAGTATATCTTATTTAAATTCACCATCTATATCATTCTCTTTTATCCCCCCTCCTCTATTCTTATAATGGTTTCAATAGGTCTCATTTTTCCATTTACATACATGAGTACATAATATATCCACCATATTCACCCTCCTACACCCTTTCCTTATATCGTCCCCCCCACAACTGGTACCAACCTCCAGACAGGATCTGCGTTACTTTCCTGACCACTGTGTGTTTGTGTGTGTGTGTGTGTGTGTGTGTGTGTGTTTTAACATTTATTTACATGTGTATACATTGCCACCTCTCCCCTCCCACCCCACCCCTGCTTCCAGGCAGAACCTGTTCTGCCCTCTCATTCTCCAATTTTGTTGAAGAGAAAACATAAAAGATAATAAGAAAGACATAGCATTTTTGCCAGTTTGAGATAAAGATATGTATGCAGAGAGATTCCTAGCATTGCTTCCATGCACTTGTATATTACAACCCACATTGATTCATCTCTACCAGACCTCTTCACTACTTCCTGATCCCCTTCCCATAATGGCCTCTGCCAGTTTAAGATTACTATATTCACTTGTCTACAGTGGACACATCAACCATATTCAAGTTTTAGGTTTCCTTCCCTTTCCCTATTTCTTCCGTGCGCATTCTCCCATAGTGTGTGATCCATGTCTGATAATGATCACAGCTCTTTTATTGCTCTAAATTATTCCCTAGGGGCATTTTCTCAGGATTGTCACTGGATAGCTACACCTCTAAATATCTCTATATAATTTATAGATACATATTTTTTTTTCAGATTCTGGCATGCAAATGAACCCAACAACTTTCAGGAAGAAAATTGTGTTGTCCTTGTTTATCAGCAAAATAAATGGGCCTGGAATGATTTTCCTTGTAACTTGGAATCAAGTAGGATATGTAAGATACCCAGAGCAGTATTCAACTAGAAACCTATGACGCAGTCCCTGTGATGCAGACAGAAAAGAAGAATCTATTAGACTATTTATGCATCACTGAAATAGAGAGAATGTGCTGGGCCACAGAGCATTTTCTGTCATGGTGGCCTTATTTATTTTTATTCAGTTTATTCAAGCTTGTTGTGTGTTTAAGATAATGTGGTTTTACAGGATGTTTTGGTGGAAGGAATCATTCTGTGAGAACCAGCTTTGTTTATATTTGCTTTCTTAGTAGTATTTCAAGGTATTTACTTTTCAGTTGGTGTGCACTGATTATGTATGTAACACAGTGGCTTGCATAATGCAATTTCTTTGTCATTTTTCTCTTCCTAATTCTTAGCTGTTAAAATTCAAAAGTAGGATACTCATTTTTTAACCCAAGTATCACAAACAGTTTAAAATTTCCAGCAGTGTTATTGTTTAATGCTTAATTTTCAGATCTTTAAATTAATTCCATAGTCATTATACTGACATTCTGAAGGTGAAAATTTCCAGAACAACGATAATGAATAGTTCTAACTTATGGTATTGTGCAGGTAGATAAAAAGTATGCATATCTTTAAATTTTTCCTTTTAACTCCACTCTACATTTCTTCTCAAAGCAGGCAGTCTCAAGTTGACTTTTTTAGTGGAAAATCCCATTAATGGATAGTTTAACCAAAATTCTTCACTTCTAAAGCTGAGGAGACAAAAATCTTAGAAAATTAAAGGTCTTAATTTGTTTGGCTTGTTCACTAGAGAGTGCCTGTAATTACAGGAAAATTAACGAGGATAAATTAGCTAACAGCTAAAATTTCTTAAGTTTTTGTAGGTTTATTGTAGTGGCATTTTCTTTTTTAATTTGAATCAGAAAATCACATCTTAAGTCATTTATATAAATTGTTAAAATGTTTCAGAGCTATGAAGCGGCAGCTCTAGATACCAAGGATGTCACTGCTTTGACAACTTACAAGTACTAAGTATGTGGTATTAGTGGTGAAATAGTCACAGCCAACTTCCGCAAAATATGGTGGTATGGTCTCTTAAAAATTTTAATTTGCTGATGTTTCTTACATCTAGGCTGAAAATTTTAAGCAAGAGTTTTTTCTTTTCATTTTTTGTGGTACTGGGGTTTGAACTCAGGGTCTAGACCTTGAGTCACTCCAATAGTCCTTTTTTAGTAATAGGTTTTCTTGAGATAAGGTCTCATGAACTATTTGCCTGGGCTGGCTTTGAACTGCAATCCTCCTGATCTCTGCCTCCTGAATAGCTAGGATAATAGGTGTGAGCCACTGGTGCCCAGTTGATCAAGAAAGAGATTTTAAAAATAACTTCTCTACCACTATTTAAAAAAAACGGTATGTAATTTTAAACTAATTTATTGATTTTTCTGAGCTTGGAGTATTGATATTTGGTTATGTGTAGTGAAGTATGTGTGGTGTGTGTATGTGAATGTCTTATTCTTTTAACTGAAGTGGGACTAAGTAACTTTAAATTGTGCTCATCATATTCATTGAGTTACATGGCACAAAACCTGTTGAAATAATGTGCAAATGCTAAAGGGCATTGCATAGTTAATATTGTCCATTTCAATTTGTATAGAGCTGTAGATAGGTAGAGAATCATTGTCAATAAAAATGTTATCTCTCTGTGATTTCATTCACCTGTGTCTGCATCTGTACCAAGAACCTGTTTCTCTCAATGTTGACCACCTCTCACCAACTCCAAAGCCATCATCATACCCAAGCTACCCTCTCTCTCAACTGGATGAATGCAGTGGCCTTTGGATTGCTTTCTCTGTTTCCACCCTTCGTCCCTTTCAGGCTCTTTTCAACTCGCATGGCACTTTTATCCTTCATCATTTTTTAACAATAGCTGGCAGTAACTTAATAAAAAAAGACTCTTTGTTATTTTAGAACATTATGGTGGCCTTAAAGCTTGAAATGCTTAAACACTTTAAAATTTAAAGTTTTTATTTGTTGAAAAGTAGTGTATATATGTTTAAAAAAAGCAGAGTCAACATAATAAATGTATAATATAAATCTCTCTTCCATCTTGAACTCCAGACCTCTAGTACCTCTTCACAATAAATATGATTATCAGTTTCTCATTTATATTCTCATATATGATTGTATACTATATGTAATTATATCTAGTACATAGAAAGTGTATGGTATACATGCTATACTATGCACAAATGTATAACTATGTTATGTACTACATATGATACAAATATATCTTATATATGTTTCTATGTTACAAACATATATAGATGCACAATTTTTGCACTCATAGTAACATTATGTACTTCTTTTTTTGCTTAATAGTTTGGAAATTATTATTTACCTTGCTCCTTATAAACGAATATTGTTTTATTTATTGTATCATAATTAAATATGTTAAAGTTAAAAAATAATCTCCTTTATATCATAAAAATCATCAAAATAATGAGTACAAAACAAACCCAAGAAAGAAATCATAGCTCAGATCTGGAATGGAAGACATTGTTCCAAGCAAGACTTTTATTTATTTATTTATTTATTAGTTTTTTAGGAGTCTTATGTACTTCTATCATATTCCCATCCTTTCACCCTCTCCTTTTCCTCTACTAGTCATCTAAACAGTCCCTCTTTTACAATTATATTATATTGTATATGAGCAAAAATGTGATATTTGTCTTTCTGAGCTTGACTTACCTTGCTCAGCATGATGATCTCCAGTTCCATCCATTTTCCTGCAAACAGCATAATTTCATTCTTCTTTTTGATGTACAGTACTCCATTGTATATATTTACCACATTTTCTTTATCCATTCATCAGTTATTGGGTACCTATTCCCAATAGGCTGATTCCATAGCTTGGTTGTTATAAATAGTGCTGCAATAAGCATGGGTGTGCAGATATCTCTATGTAAGTGCTGACTTACATTCCTCTGGATATATGTCCAAGAGTGGTATAGCAGGATCTTTTGGCAGTTCTATTTTTTAGTTTCTTAAGGAGCCTCCATATACTGATTTCCATAGTAGCTGCACTAATTTATATTCCCATCAACTGTGTGTAAGTGTTCCTTCCCCCCTTCATCTTTGCCAGCATTTGTTGTTATAACCATTAGAGAAGAACTGTATTTGTATACGTACAAAGTTTGCAAATCTAATAATATAATTAATCACATCAATATTACAAACAGATGCTTAAGTGTTGTCTTAGTTCATTTCTGTGGTGTCACACAAGGTAATGTATAAAGAAAAAGGTTTATTTAGCTTACAGCTAAAAGTGAGGCTGAAAGTCCAAGTTCAGGTGGCCCCATGAGTTCAGTCTCTAGTGAGGGCCCTCTGGCTAATCACAATGTAGTGGATGGCACCTTGGTGGGAACACATGTGAGATAGGGAGAATAGTCACGTAGCCAGAT